ATCACATCGACCTTAGTTGTAACAAGACAGTTTTTGCTCAAGACCGAGTTTAATGCACACGAAACCAGAATTGAGGAGCACATGAGAGATAGACTGTATGCTAGGATGTGAAACCCAAGCATCCAGACATGAGGGGACCTTAGCAAGACGGCTAGGAAGGCCTCCTCTTCGTCACACGTACTACATTGCCGCCTGCCACGTAAGTCGTTTTGGTTTACAGGAGAGTTTTTGTTAACTCGGCGCTATCTGACTGGCACGGCTGGCATACGCTCCATCCTCCCCCCGAGTTTCTGAAATAGTACGTTACATCGGACGTCAGAAAGTCACTCAAACAAGAGAATGTCAGCAGATCCAAGTCAAGATACGATGATACAACGTCAAGTTCACAGTCATGCTGAGTGGGCAATAACCATTCAAAGATTGTCCATTCTGAAGAAGATTTTCATGCAGGGCTATTAGATGTGCAGTGCAGAGATAAGGGGAGATGCCTGGCGAGCTGATGCAATGACGAGAGAAGGAGGATAAGATAAGAGAGTCTGAGGAGAGAATAACAGAGAGAGATAGAGAGAGAGAGAGAGAGAGCGTGCCCGCCGGCATTTGAAGACCAAAAGATAAATTTTTGAACCGTAAAGAACTTGTGACCAGAGATTGCTGCCGCGAGATTGGAACATCCGTTTCAAGGCACAATCCCATGCGCATTCAAAGTATATCCGAGAAAACTGATCTGCGTCTGAAGAAACACACACTTGCTCCGTTTAACGAAGACCTGGTGGTGGCGGAGGCGCTCCAGTAGGAGACGCACCTGCTGTAGGTGTGAACGAGGATTACCCATGGAAAAGATTAAGAGATCATCGACGTAGACTAAGACGTTGTTCATACCTGCGAGGATGCCCTGTGAGAACTTCTGGAAGGCAGCTGTGGCCGTTTTCAGACCAAAGGGCAGAGCGCGGAATTGGTAGGATCCTTGTTCAGTAACAAACCCAGTATATTGAGAGCTGTCAGGAGTGAGAGCTAGCTGCCAGAATCCTGAGGCCATATCCAGCTTGCTGAAGTAGAGGGTATCCGTACTGGACACAGTACGCTGCGAGAGCACGCGCCCGATACGTTCCATGAGCTCGGTAGGGACGGGAGGCGGAAAACTGTCGTCGAGGAGGTGATTGTTGACTCCTCGATAATCAATACAAAAACGAAATTGAGGGACTCCTTCAGAGGAAAGACCTTTGCGAACAAAGATGACGGGACTCTGCCACATGACATCATTGTTCCGCTCGATGATGCCGCGTGCCAACAAGAAGTCGATCGTTTTAGCGAGCTCCTCCTGGAGCGTCGCCGGAAGGCGGTAGGGACGACGACGAATTGGACGAACGTCATCAGGAACCCGAAGGACAACGTCATACTGCCCCCGCGAGACAGGTGGCTGGATTGGTAGTTCGTCCACCAGAACATCGGAAAAATCCTCGAGTAGCTCCTGCAAGGCCGGAGCTGCGAGCGGCGAGGCCGACGAGGCGACCTGAGAGACCAATGAACTGGTAGAAACAGGCGAGGACACGGTCGCCATGACCCAGGGCATCATATCCTCAGGTGGAGGAGGCTGAAGCGTGTTCCAGTCCGCATGCCAGGGAAAAATCAAACACTGGGCTTGCCGCATAGCCGCGGAGCCAGGACCAGGGATGTGAAATGCGAGCGGAAGGCGTTGACGCCCCGCAGTACCATCCTGCGCTGGAATAGTAACGAGCTTGGAATGAAAGTCGATATTCATTTTCATCTTGGCAATGAACGGTTGGGACAAAATCGCCGGCAGTGACGCTGGAGAGTCCAAAATGAAGAACGTTTCTTGCGTTTCAACATTGGTGCCTGCAATGCGAAACGGCAGGAGGCAGGTTTCACGAAGCACGACCTGGGCGTCGCCATGAGCGAACTGAGCGGTAAGCGTGGCGGGAATTCGCTGTGTGGTCAATTGGAGCTGTCGCGCAACCTGACGCGAGATCACACTGATCTCAGCACCCGAGTCAAGCAAAGCCAGGATCTCGGAAGTAGCAGCTGGCACCGGAGAGGTGAGTGGTACAATGGGCAGATAGAGAAGCGATCCTGAAGACGCCCCGTGCTCCTGAGAGCCAAGGGAGTGGAGTGCAATCGGATGCAAGTGTACCTCGAGAGCGTCACCGTCCAGAGGCACTTCATCTTCCAGTTCTTCAGCAAAATGCACCTGAGGACGGCGCTTAGGCGTCTTCGAGCGAGCAGCAATCTTGTTAGCTGCAACGGACGGAGCAGCCTTGCGGTCGTCGGAAGTCTGAACAGCGCCAAGCAGAGGCGGAGAGGAGGAGTCGGACGACTGCTCACGTTCAGGACTCTGACTGCGGCGGGTACGACGACACTCGGAAGATCGATGTCCGAGTTTGCCACAGTTGTAACAACGGATGGCATTGGTCGATGTGTTTGGGGACGAGGAGTCTCCCGCACTCCTGGCGTCCGGCCGAGCAGCACGGCGCTCTTTGAAGGCCGAAGCCTTGCCAGAAGGACGACTCTTGCGATCATTAGAATTAGAGGAGCGATTGCCCACCTGCACGGAGTAGAGCTGCCGGTGGGGATCTGCTCCCGTCGAATGGTCTTTGGTTCTGGTCTGATTGTCGATCTTGAGCGCGTACTCCCTGAGCTGACGGAAGTCAACATCATCCGAACGCTGTAGAGTCACCCACTGATTCAAGAGTAGAGCAGTCATATGCGATCGGACACCATTAATGAACCGTTTGCAGACCAGTGAGGACGTCGCAAATAATTTACCATCCGGAAGGAGCTGAAGTTGCTCGATTAAGGTCAGGGTTCGGGCAGCATACGAAGCAAGAGATTCCTGACGGTCTTGATTCAAATTGTCGAGTTGGTGAATGAGATTCGACAGCAGGTGAGGAGGCAGGAATTTTTCACGAATTTCCTCTGAAAATGTATCCCACTCCATGCGGCGAAAGGTCTCTGGCGGGTACTTGGCCACGAAGTGTTGGCGCACTGGAGCATCCAGTAAATCGAGGGTATGGACAACCCAGTTGGCTCGGGGGATACCATACACAGCAAAGGAGTACTGAATGGTTTGAACCCATGTCAAGACATTGTTGGCGCTAGTTTGGCGGGCAGTATCCAACTTGGGGAGATTGCGCAACTTAGCAAGCAATTGCTGATCAGCCAGAGAGACCAGCTGAGGACCGTCACGCGAGGAGATGGGGGACGGTCCAGGCTTGAGAGCGGCGGGCGGGACCGCCTCAGAAGAAGCAGGAGCTTCGAGAGCGTTCAACCGCTGCTGAACCTCCAGCAGCGCGGCAGACATGTTTTGGAGCGACCGATCCTCGGTCGATTCGGGACGAAGATCGTCGTCAATGCCGGCAGCAGATTGCCAGTCATGTTCCAAAGTATCCGTAGCATTCTCGTCCAGCATGCGAGCTGCGAGTCGAGTATTGTATCCGGACATCTACGCGACGTAAGCGTAGGAAGAAGCAGAAGAACAGTGGAGAAAGGGAGGGGAAGAGAGAAGACTCGATCTCTGTCACCGATCACAACCTTGCTACCAATTTTATGTCACACCTCGAAGATTCTCGAGTGGACCTTCAAGCGCAGTTCAATAAGAACTCACGTTGGATTTCTCTACTAAGAGGGAAAGCGGTGAAACAGAAGGAGATCTAACTCTCTTTTATTTCTTTCACACACACACACAAAACAAGACAAGACGATACACACAAAGACGTCTCAACAATCGTGGCACACACACGAAAGGGGAAGAGGACCACCTAGCTCTGACGAGTTTCATCCTTTTATAGCTTCGAGGAATGAGCCAGGGGTGCCGTCTCTTGGCTACAGAAAGGAGGGGTATCCTGTTCTTGGAAGTTGACAAGCATCCCTTCTGACCTTCGAGAGGATACCATGCTCTCTCGCAGGGAAGAGAACCCCGTCCTTGCATGGCAGCAAGCTGCTTCCAACGGGTCGTACTGCACAAGACGCACCCCTTCTGTTTACCTTGTAAGTCCCCCACGGGTACACGGTTGCTGCAACAAAGGCCTCCACAGGGGTCCTTTCAGCAGCTTCACACTGGAGTAGAGTATCCTGGGTCATCCAGGAGAAGTCAGCTTCGAACACGAGTACGAGACAGCCAACTGTCCTTTCATCCTGATAGGCCTTTGTCTGACTCGGGCTCGGTTCCTATGAGCTCTGACACATTTGATCCTACTCAAAGATCAAGAAGATTAAAATAAGAATCGAATCAGCTTCAAGTGCGTTTCCACACGGTTAAGCAGATATTCGACTCGGACCGACCAATCTGGCTGGCCCAGTGGGGAAAGGCTTGTTTTTCCTATTCGAAGATCAATCAAACAAATTGAGGCTGAGATGAGAGGCCTAAACAACTTGCGGCTAGAGAGAGAGCCTGATTGAAGAGAGGAGTCATCCGAATGTGTAAGGCTTGATAGAATTGCATGAATTTTCAACAGCAACGGAAACGTACGAGGAGGGGAGAGGAGGGAGGAGGGGTGGTCCAAAAAAG